CGTGACTTCCGCAGTAATTTGGTTTGGTTGGATCGGCAACGCGGGACCTCTCTATCGGTCCTTATTTTACTATCTCAGAATATCAACAAAAATTGTGCAACAATAAAGTTAAATCCAAAATGGATGGTCCATTTCCAATTGAAGAAGTCATCTCACCAACTGTATACAAGTAGTAGATAACAACACAACATAAGTAGATAACAATATATATATATTGTTATCTACTTATGTTGTGTTGTTATCTACTTATGTTAGACTGTTACCTACTTATGATTAGAATGATACCTACTTATTTTTGGGCACCCATTTTGGTTCCTAATTGGCTTGATATTTGCTTCCTTTTGATGAGGTTTTTGGCTTTCTTTGGCCCTTTGATTGCTTTCATCGCCCGAGGCTGAGGCACGAAGTGCCGATTGTGAGGGCTATGCCTGAACTGGATACAAAGCATCCTGGTTTGCAAATCTGCAATGATGTAATTATTAATAAATTAGACTATTTCATGGTCATCTGCATCTTCGAGTTTCAAAAATTTGGAATGGGCCACATTCAAATATTTGAGGTACAATACCAAAAAAGTGTGCTATGTTTTTCAGCTCTAGAATCCTTTCTCGCATAATTGGTATTTTCTATGTCTATTATTTACCTACCTGTTTATTACTACCAAATTTTGATATCCAAATGCTTTGATGGCTACCAAAATTTTTGATGTTTTTTAGTGGTCTATCCTATAGATTATTAATTTTTGAGTTTGGGATTTTCTGTGTAAATTAGGGTATGAACCAGACCTAAAACCAAATGATCTGTTGAAAAATGGTCAAAAGAAGAACACGATCAGGTTATCAAATTAGTAACAGACTGCTTCCTGTATTTAGCTTGGCAGGAGAATACAAAGGAAATGGACGTATGTTTATCAAATCGGAGCCATGTCCAATGTGCAAAAATAGGCATAAGAAAGACTCGATATATGGCAAGCGGGATAAACAAATTTATTATAGTAGAAACACTTATCACGTCAAGTGTAGGAACAAATTACTGGATTCAGCAATCAAGATAACTACTGGAAAACAGATTTGACCAAATTGATAGTTGAGTGATTTCGAGATTTTTGTTTTATTTTTTC